TTTGGGCCAGTGCTGCCCATTGTGAGTGTGAGGAGTGTGGATGAAGCCATCGAGTTCATCAACCTTCGAGAGAAGCCCCTTGCCCTGTATGTCTTCTCCAACAGCAAGCAGGTGGGTCTGGGCTGTGCTCCTCTGCATAGGCACCTCTGCACAGTTGGATCCTGAGCATGGCTGRTCCCAGACACAGCTGCCTGCAGGGTCTGTGTCAGCTCCTTTTCCATGTGAATTGCAGCWTTTGGGGGCCATGAGGGTCCCCAGTCTCCTTCTGGAGGTTCCCAGGTTTGTACATCTCCACCCACACAGGTGGGTCCTGCTTCCTGCCAGGTCTGCCCCAGCTTCCAGGCTCTGTTGTGCCAGCTYAGGAATCCAGGTCAGGGCTTTGCCCTGAAACAACAGCCCCAGGCAGTTTGGGTGGGAGGGCTGAGGAGCACCCTGGGCTGACAAGAAGCCTTTTCATTTTGTGGCTTTTCCAGCTGGGCAAATCCTGCACTGAAGTGGTGTACACTGGCCTCTCTCATGGAACAAAGCAGAGCAAAGGGGGATGGAAGCATCACCTTGAACCCTCCCCGCTCTGGTACATGGTGTTGTGTCCCACCTTGATTTGTTCTGTGCCCTCTCCCATTCTGGCAGCTGATCAGACGGGTGATATCAGAGACCTCCAGTGGTGGCATGACAGCSAACGATGTCATCATGCACTCCGTGGTTCCAGGCCTGCCCTTCGGCGGTGTGGGTGAGTCCCTGCTCCACCCCACACACCTGCATTGGACCAGCACCAGCCTYTGAGACAGGTGCTGGGTCTTTGAAAATTCAGGAACTTTCAGCTGCATTTTCCCATTAATGTTATTTTCTGGAGAGGGTTGCTTTGTCAAAAGGCCCATTAGTGTTTTGGWTATGCAATGAGCAGGTCCTCACTCATTCTTGCAGCTAAAAAAGCAGCTCTTTGCTTCTCTGCATGACCAAACTTCCCCTGTGTCCTGGGGGCTGCCAAATCAAATTTGAGAAGCACAGGTGTCCCTGTGCAYGGTGTGACCTGCCTGGCTGTGTCCCTCAGGTCACAGTGGGATGGGCGCCTACCAYGGCAAGTTCAGCTTTGAGACCTTCTCCCACCGCCGCGCCTGCCTSATCAAGGAYCTGAAGATGGAGGCTGTGAACAAGCTGAGGTATCCACCTGGCAGCATGGAGATGGTGCATTTGGCCAAGCTCTTGCTCCTGAAGCAGTGTCACAGGAGCAGGGTGGGACAGTTCATCTCGGCCCTGCTGGCGGCTCTGAAAGCCGTGGTGGCAAAGGTGAGCTCTGGGTCTCTGCTGTCCCTGTGAGTGTGGGCTCCCAGCTCTGTCCCCTGAGCTCCACCTGCACTCAGCCTCCATCACCCCATTCCCTTGGGCTCTGCTCCCTCCCTGGAGGACTCATCCCTGTTTCTGTGCCTTTCCAGCTGCTGTTCCCCCAGCAAGAGGGGTGATGGCCAGCCAGCCCTTGGACCCGCCGCTCACCCCTTACAGTCCTGCTGCTGAACTTCTCTTTGCTGCAATTTCATTCCTTCCAAGGCAGCCAATGCACTGAAGAGGTAGAAGACAACAAAATGCACCTAAACAGTGACTCCCCACCCAACTTGAAGGCTCCAGCTCCTGCTGAAACAGGAATCCATCCAGACCTAGGCCATGGGTCATGCCTGAGCAATGAGTGGCAGATGAAAGGAAACAGCATCCACCCTGCTCTGTAAACAGGAGCTAGTCTAGAAACTCCTGGGAACGTGGGAGTGTTTGGCACGAGGGTATCTAAACAAAGCCAGGGTTACTGAGCCTGTTATCTGTGTAATGCCTCACCTGATCCCCACAGGAAGCTGGCTCATCACAGCAATAAGCCTGGCACCATGTGGGTCTCACTGCAGGGGACAGTCCAGGCTGGTTGTCCCCTGARCAGAGGAAAGGAGCCTCGAAGAACCTGCAGCATCTCATCCTTGAAGGGGCTCATGATGGCATGGGTGATGCTCATTGCAGGGAAACCACCCTTAGCCATCCAAGGTGTGCAAAGGCCACCTGAACTGATGGCAAAAGCCACCTGAGCTGTGGCCACGCTGTCCCAAGGACTCAAGAAGTGCCTGGGACTGTTGCGCTGCTGCATTTCTGGGGCAAAGACAGGGCACTGCTCTGACTGGAGCCCCAGRTTTGGGACATCCTTGTCCAGAGTGGCAGAGCAGCCATAGCCACCTCCTCTGTAACTGAATTTCAGGGGTTTATTGATTTTTGGACAGTCTTTTACCTCCAAATTTGTGACTGAGAGCTGACCTTGACCCTTGCTGAATAAAACCTTGTTTTTACTGCGAAGGCCACCAGGGGCAGAGCAAGACCCACGTGTGGATGTTSCCTGCTCTGGCCCCAGCCCTGCCCTCAGCCTCCACCCCAAGGAGCCAGCCCGCCTCCAGCCGGGTTTATTCTTTATTGGGCGTTTGTCATGGAGCAGCAGCAGGAGCTGGGCTGTGCTCAGCTCTGCTGGGTGGTGACAGTGTGGGCTGGGGGTCACTGACACKTTCAGTGTGTGCCAGGCAGCCCAGAGCAGCATTTTGGGTGCCAGAGCAGCCTCGGGGCCCCATCCCAATCAATATCTGAGCAAACACTGCCCAACRCTGCCAGGGGCCCTTTGGCTCCTGTGGGGCAGCCGTGTGGCTCAATTTTCCCGCTGGCTGGTCCGTGCTTTGCACGTCCGTCCCTCAGGAAGGGCTTTCACCCCAAAAACAAGTCCCCAAAGTCCTTGGTGCGAGTCATTCTTTGCTGGTCATCAGCTTTATGGCGACGCCGAGCGCCAGCACGGCCACGGCCGCGACCACCGCCAGCACGCGCTTGAACATCAGCTTCTTGGTGACCACGTGGGTGGCCGGAGCGCCGACACCAGACCTGACATCCCGCAGCTCCATCTGGTACGGGGGTCCCTCTGTCCTGATTGATGTGAGCACCACGTCGTTCTGCACGTCCAATCCCGCTGCAGGGAGAGCAGGGTGTGAGGGGTGTGGGGGGATGGAGGGGTTTGGGGGGATTGAGGGGTTTGGGGAGGATTGAGGGGTTTCTAGGGAGGGTTTTGTCCCAGGGCAGCAGCTCAGAGAGTGGACATCTCCAGCTCTCAACCGTATCCCACCCCCAGAGGTGGGACCGGGTGTCAGCCAGGTGAGAGCTGCTCACAGATCGTCCCTCTGTCACCACCCTCCCGAGCCCACGCTCGTAATTACAGCTCTCCCAGTAACTGAGGGTGTCACCCGCTGYATTTCCCCTTTTGTGGGCTTGTTCCTGCCTCGTGGGAGCCCTTCCCAGACCCAACCCCGGGCGTACCGACAGACCCCAACACCGCCCTGGCTGGGAGGTACGTGTGGGGCTGGGGGGCTGACACATCCAAATCCTTGAGGGAGGGTTCGGAGGCCAAGCCTGGCGCCTCTTGTAGTGTTGGCTGGGCCACTCCTGCACGGCGCTGAGCCTGGGGAGGGAACGTGCTGGGTTTAGTCTGGAATTCCCACCCAGCAAAGCTGTGCTGCCCTGCAGCTGTTGGGGCACAAGGTGATGCTCAGGGATGAAGTGGTTTGGGTCACCCTACTCTGAGTTTTGTGTCCCCAAACAAGGGCGGCAGGGGGAACTTTGAGGCCATGGAGAGCATGAGCAGGAGGGAGCTGAGTACAGGGATGTCATGGGAGCGCTGGGGTTTGCTCTGGGCACTGGCCATGAGACCGAGCCCTGCTCATCCCAGCAGGACATTCCCAGTGCAGGGAAGGGCTGTCAGCGCCCGGATTACCTCCAAAGCCGCCTTCTTCCAGTCCAGGCGGGCGATGTAGATGACGAAGCAGGTGCAGAGGATGAAGACACTGACCAGCATGGAGACCCACAGGCCTGCAGAGCRCACACGGCGTCAGCCAAAGCCAGCCCAGCATCCCAGGACAGCAGGGACATCCCGGGACATCAGCCAGGTCAGCAGGGACACGGGGATGGGGTGGTCATGCTGTGGGGCTGCCTGGCACCGGTTACTTCCACCCAGTTGGAGTAAAAGCTGCCAGCAGTGGCCGGAGCCATCCCAGCCCACCCCAGTGCACCCAGACAAGTCAGAGAAGGGCAGAGCCAGGCAGGAGGGTTGTGGTGAGCCCGAAACAGAGCTGATTCTGCCCGTGGGGGGTTTGGGGGTGCGGTGCCCGGGGCTCTGTACCTATGACACCGATCTTGGCCGCGAAGAGCAGCACGGCTGACAGGGGCAAGCCCACTCCGTAGTAAGTCACGCCATTGAGGATGGCACCGAATTTCTGCTTCCCGATGCCTCTGAGCACCCCACTGCAGGCACCCTGTCAGGAGAGGGAGAGGGGCTGGGCCAGGGRGCATCACCTCGGCCAAATTGAGGAGATGACCCAGTCTCTGCCCGTTGTTCCTGTGTCCCTGCCCGGTCCTGTGGGTCACCATCCTTTTATGYGCTCGGTGTTTTGTAAGGGATGATCCCAGGAACTTTGCAGGGTCCTGGTATGGGAGCTGGTGCTCAGTCTGAGGGACCCTGGACTGCCTGACCCACAACGCTGCAGCTGAGCACCAAGGTGATCTTTGGAAAACAGCGGCGTTCCCTGGGACTTACAGTGAGGGCTTCAAACAAGTGGAAGACAATGTAGATCGGCATGACCCACGACACCAAGTCAGCGATCTCCCTGAGGATGGAAGAAAGCTGATGGTCACTTTTGGGAACTGACCTCTAYACATCGAGGCCGAAAGCTGGGGGCACTCACGGGTCCTTGGTGAAGATGTATCCCAGCACATTCTTGGTGGAGGCTAAAATGGCCCCGACGATCACGCAGAACACTCCTGAAAACACAACGAAGGGCTGAGCCCGGCTGGGGGAGAGAGCAGGGGAGAAGAGGCAGGCAGAGGGCTGCAAACCCTCCCTGCTCCACGGGAAGGAGGCCAGGAAGAGGCTTGCCAGGATGCCGTGGACTGACCTGTGCAGATCAGGCTGGTGGTGGAGGATCTCTTGGCTGTCTCGTAGTCGCCGGCGCCCAGCGCGTTCCCCACCTGCACGCTGGCAGCTGTGCCCAGCCCCAGGGGGATCTGCAAGCACAGGGCTCACATGGGACTGTGACGGTGACAGCGGGACAGCCACCCAGCTGAGAGGGTGATGGAGCTCAGGGTTTGATTTAAAACTTCTCCATAGGAGGGGCAGGCAGGAGCAGGGAAATGTTTGGGTGCAGAGRGGGAAGCTGGAGGTTTGCTGGAGCTGATTTTTGCTGTGTGCCTGTCTCAGGACAGTCMCCATGGAGCTCTGGGCCTTACCATGAAAGCCACAACTGACACCTCRTAGATGATGGACTGGACAGAGAGCTCAACGACGCTCAGCAGGCCTGTGGGACAGGAGGGGTCAGTGCTGGCCGTGGGTGCTGCTCTGGGTCAAGCYTGGCCATTTCCTCCCCTCTCCACTRACCTATCAAGAAGCTGCCGATCTCGTAGGTCCACCACTCGATGCACATCATGAGCATGCTGGGGATGGCCAGGGAGGTGAAGCTGTCCCACTCCAGCAGGCACTCTCTGGACCAGCCTGCAGAGAGGACAAACAGCACCCCATGGATGACCAGGCTGGCCATGAATTACATCCCTCAGAGCACCTGAGGTGCTGTTCCTGTTCTCACAGCCAGCAGCTCCTCAGGATCTCCCGCAGCACAGTGTCCACCCCACAACCTCTCTACTGCTGTCYCATGAGCTACAGAGCAGCACAACCCTCAGCTCATCCCTCTCAGGGCAGAGTGTCCGAGGACAACCTCCCTCTTACATCTGTGCTCATCTGGATTTGGGGATGAACCTGCCAAAGGCTCAGCAGAAAGTTTCATTTCTGCAGAATTAATGTTTAGTGCTGAGCACGGAGCTCTGCCGGCGCTCACGCGTGACGAGCTGCTGCCGCTACCTGGGGCACATCGGGCTGGGGTTAATATTTCACCACCAAGAGGAGCAGAATTCCTCTTCTATCAAGAACCCCTGATAGAAGTTTTATGGACACTTTTGGGTTAAGCAGGAAGCAGAGGGAGCAGGGGAGATGCCCTCACCTCCCCAGGTGTTYACGTGGAGTTTCTTGCAGATGATATACAGGAACAAGAAAATGGTTTGCGAATACTGAGCGATGGTGTTGGCCCAGGCAGAGCCCCTGCAGAGGAAGTGAGAAAGGTCATTGGCATCCTGCTCGTGCCCCTGTGAGCCCAGTGCTCCCTGGCCATCACCTGGTGCCCTATTTTCCTCCCCAAGGGACACAGGTGCCACTCACGTGATGCCCAAGTGGAACAYGTGGAGGAAGATGTAGTTCACAGCCACATTGACGACGTTGCCGATGAACCCGCTCAGCACCAGCGGCCACATGATCATCTGCAAAGGGGAGRACATGGGGGGGTCTTCACAAAGGTTTTGGGAGGGAGGTGTGAAGGTCCCTCCAGCCCCGTGCTCAATGCCTTTCTCAGAAAAAAACCCCAAACTTCCAGTGATGTTGCCTGCTTGGAAAATGATTTCCAGAAAAAAAAACCCCCAAACTTCCAGTGATGTTGCCTGCTCGGAAAATGATTTCCAGAAAAAAAAAAAGTGCCAAAATTCCAGTGATGTTGCTTGCTTGGAAAATGATTTCCAGAAAAAAAGCCCCCAAACTTCCAGTGATGTTGCCTGCTTGGAAAAACAGTGTGCTGGAGGTAAATCCCTGATGTGGGGAAACATGAAGGGAGGTGGATGGATACACCTGTCTGTAGGATTGGGTGATCTACAGGGTCAGAGCTGTTTTGGGGCCCCTGGGCACTGGGAATGCTGAGCATGGAAACCCTGAATGTGTGGTGGAAGCGAGCCCTGAGCCAGGGTGGGTGTGAGGACTTCAGGACCCACCTGGTTCTGCAGGTATCTCATCTCCAGGTTATACAGAAAAACCACCTGCAAGGGAAATGGGCAGGTGAGACGAGCCAGCGCTGAGCAGCAGGATGGGGACAGCCTGTCCCCGTGTGCAGGTGGCACCCAGGGTGYCCCCGGGCACTCACCGGGAGGGCAGGGATAAACGCATTCACATAGTGCTGGGTCAGCCTGGGGGCACACAGAGGGGGGCTCAGGGAGGGGCACGGCCACGGCCACCCTCCTCTCAGCCCCRCCACGCCGGGAGGGATGAGGGGACCACCCAACCTGGAGACATCGGGATCCTGCTGGATGAGCAGCATCAGCTGCTCGATGTTGATGAGGATGGCGCAGCAAGGGAAGCAGCAGAGGAGGATGATGATGGCGGCTCGCTGCAGGATCACCCCCACGCGCAGCAGGTTCTTGCTGCCGTAGGTCTGCAAGGTGAGAGGGCAGCAGTGACATCAGCCGGCGCTGGGGTAAAGGGGACCCTGCGGAGCGTGGAGCAGCCCTGACCGCCCTGAAGACCGCCTGGGAGGGATTTGCAGCACGGATCTCCTCGTTATGGGCTTGTTTACCCGGGGATAAGCTTGCCYAGCTCGCAGGAGCAGCCAGGGCTCCATGTGGTGCCTGGACATCATCAGCTGATGCTGGAACCCCCCCATGTCCCCAGGAGAAGTGGCAGCGTGTCCTACCCACCTGTGATATCAAGGTGTCACAAGCTGAAGTCAAACCGTAACCTACAGAGATGGCAGTGACATTTATAACCTGCGGGTTAAAAACACAAAGAGTSAAGGTGAGCATTTAAGGCTTTCAGGTGGGGAGAGGGGCTGAAAGGAAAAGTGGGAGTCTGAAATCTGCTCCGTCCTTTTCCCCTGCCATCTCCCATCCCAGAGTCAGCAGGGAGGGAGCTGGTGCCTGGCACCGGGAGTGCTTACAGCGATGGCCAGCGTGACRGAGGCCAGCTCAACCTTGCCCAGGTGGCCACAGAATATGGAGCTGACAAGGTGGATCAGGAAGATCAGCAGCTGGATCAGGATCTAAGCACGGAGGAGAGGAGAGCCGAAGGTTAGGGATGATGGTGAGCAGTGGGGTTGTGCTGGGTGGGGTCTCCCCTCCCGGGTCCTTACCAGCGGCCCCGCCAGCACCAGCAGCTTCTTCACGTCCTCCCAGAAAGTCTCCGGAATCCAGCGGCGTTTCTTCTTGTAGTTCCCGGGGGTGAGATTGGGGGTGAGATTGCCCTGGCCGGCGTCCTTTTCCTCCCCGATGCCATTCTCCTCGGGGAAGCTCTCCGGCTTCATGCTGCCCTGCCAGGAGAGTGGAGCGAGCCCCTTCCTCCGCGCTCTGTTAAMCCCCGCTGGGGTGAGCAATGTGTAACCACGCGGGGCTGAACTTCAGCCGGGCCRTGGGGAGTGCGGGCAGTGGGGCAGGGCAGGGCACGGAGCCCCGGGAGGGTCCTGACAGCGCAGAGGAGCCCGGCCGCACCCTGCAAGGCATTGCTGCCCGTCCTGAGCCAGCGCAGGGGCTCAGCCGTCCTAAATCCACCCGGCGAGCCCTCCTACCTCTCCTGCTTCAGCACRGCTCCACCGGGCAGCGGGCTGGAGCGCCGTCCTGCCCTTGCAGCAGCGAGGGAGGATTGCTGSCTGTGCGCGGCTCTGGGCAGCGGCTCATTCACTCCCATCACAGGGGCCAGGACAAGCCGGCCCCCTTGGCTCCAGCTGTCCCGGCACAGCCCCGCCGGGTCGGGTTTCACTGGCACCGCTCCCCCAGGCCGAGTACAGAGTCCCTGGCCCGGAGGGAGGCGGGCAGGGCAGGGGAGATGCTGCCCAGGGCAGACCCCACCTGCACGGAGCRGGCGGTGGGCTGGGATAACTCACGGGGCACAGCGAGACACTTTGTCCCTGTCCCCACACTCCCATCCCAAACCTACCAGGATTCTGAGCAGGGCACAGTCTGCCACGTCCTCTAACTGCTGCAGGGGACGCTGGCAGTTTCAAGCTTGTTCGTGTCACATTTTTTCATTCCCAGCCCACAGGCCACCAGCACCAGGTGGGTTGTGGGGTGACAGGGAGGTGCCACACCTCTGCTCTATGAGGTGTTGACCACCCAGGGCYCAGCATGTGACACGTCACAGGCACCAGCTGCAGGTGACATCCCGGGGACAGGCCCAGGGGGACTCAGTGCATTATGGGCTGTTGGCATTATGACATGGGGCAGTTCTCTGATGGCTCTGKGGGGTCGTGCAACACAACCTCCCTCTTCCATGGTGCCCACAGCCACGCAGAAAGCACCTGAGGGGCACAAACCTTGCTTTTGTACCAAAAGGCAACAGTGATCATGTTGTGTCACCCCAAAGCTCAGGGCCAGGAGCAGACCCACATCTTTCCTCTCAACAGCACAGTCGTGCCAATGACCAGGGTCACGCTCGCACCGTATTAAACAGCATAACATTTACTCAGAAAACTTTATTGTATRAAAATCCCACCTTACAAAAGTGCAAAGAAGAGTTGCTTTAGGCGCTGTGCCCGCCCTGCAGAGGGAGAGCGGGGTCAGGGCCGGCACCCAACAGCAGAGTCTGACACCTTCCAGCAAAACCCACTTTGTTCTGTGCTGCCACAGTGGCTGCAAGTGGAGGTTGCCAGGCCAAGATGCTGGCACAGGCTGGCGTGTGAGCAAGTGTGCTGTGGGCAGCAGGAACCCGTGCCATGAGCAGATGACACGGAACAATGTCCCCAGAGAGCAGAACAGCAGCACCAGGTCCCTGTCTCTGTTCTGGGTCAGCCCCAGGACACACTGCCACCTCTCACAAGTGACATCCCAGTGCAGTGCAGGAGAGGAACCAGCTCTCAGGCACTTTCTTTCCCAGGTGCCACATCCTCACCCCCTTTAAGAACTCTTTGTGTGGGATAAAACATAGTGAGGTGACCAGAAACCGTGCAAAGGGACTTCTTGTAAGGCACTGAGGGGCAATTCCTTCCCCCACCATCCTCCTGGGACACTGCCACACACCCTCCTGCTCTGTGCACAGCTCCCCAGGCGTCCCTGGCTTTAGCCATTGCCCGTCAGGAGCCGCACCAGGACTCCCACCAGCAGGACAGCGAYRGCAGCAGCAGCAGCCAGSACCCGGCGCAYGATCACAGCCCTCCACTCCACAGGKGGAACAACAGGGACAACAACGGGCTCCTCCTGGGGGCTGAGCTCGTGCTCAGGCTGCCTCTCGCCCATCACGATGCTCTCAGGCAGGACCACGGTGTCCCCAGTGTCCCCAGTGTCCCCAGTGTCCGTGTCAACAGAGGTGTAACCTGTGGGACAGAGGTGAGCGCTGCAGGAGCTCCCCAGCCAGGGCTTTCCAGGCTGATGCTGCACAAGCACCAGTGACAGTCCTGAGGGTCCTCTCCCAAGGCTTGGGGACACTGGGACAYGCAGCTGCAGCTGTCCCCAGGTGAGGCAGGCAGGGGGTGGCAGTCCAGGCACTTCCCTGGAGCAGCCAGCATTTCTTGTACCCCATTGCAAAGTGCAGAAGCGCTGCTGGCCCAGGACCAGCACCAGGCACTGTGCTCTTTGCAGCCATCTGAGCCTGCAGGACAGACATGGCTGCCACAATTGGGAAGGAAAGGAAGGGGTTGGGTGGAGAATTTGGGCTCCCTCCCTGTGTCAGGCTCAGTTACATACCCTCAGCAGATGTTTTGTTAGCAGCTGTGCCATTGGAGTTCACGTCTTCCACTTGTTCTTTCACTCCAGCTCGGACTTGAGCCTAGAAACACAGGGAAGAGTTGCTCTTCTCAGGGCAAGGGTGTTCTGCCCAGCCCAGAAAACCCTCCACTCTCCCAAGACAAGCATTCTCAGCACCAAATTCCTCCTCTGCTACAGGAGAAGTACACCCCAGTTCCCTTCTTCCTCCTCCTAGAGGGCTGCAGTGTTGTACGGAGACAGGAACTCACTCAGCACCTTTCAAGAATCACCAGAGCAAAGCACAATTCTCACCTCCTCTGCAGCTTTCTTCCAGTCCATGCGGATGACAAAAGTCAAGAAGGAAAGGGCTTGTACAGAGATGCAAATAATCATCCCAACCCACAGACCTGCAGGAAGGAGAAATTACTTCAGAGAGGGCTTGAGGAAAACCTGACACTGYCAGAATGCCCGAGGACTTCAGCCCAAGAACTTTCAAGGAAACAGCTCCAGGGGGAGCTGGAGTAAGCCTGGATTTACTGCCACATACTCAGTGTTGAAACAGCAGCGTGCAATCCAGCCCCACTGATCCAAAGTAAGATGCAGGAATGGGTTCTGGGGCTGAGCCTCCATCCAGGAGGGGGACACACGTACCTACCACCCCCATCTTGGCTGCAAACATCAGGGAGATGCCGATGGGGAAGCCGAGGGTGTAATAGCTGATGGCRTTGGCGATGGCACCCAGCTTCTGCCTGCCCGTGCCCCGCAGCACCCCGCCACAGGTCGCCTGGGGAGAGAGGGCARAGGGGTCACTGTGGGTGACTCTGGGGTGTGGCACAGCCCTGGGGACAGGGAAACCCACAGCACCGTCCTGCCAAGCCAAGAGGGAGCAAAGCCACATCTGGGAGCACGGGGTGTGAGGTTYCTTCACTCCAGACAACGAGCAGATCCCAAAGAGCCTCCCCACAGTGCCCAGCTCCCTCCCCCCAGGACACCACAGGAGGAAACAGCCAAAGTTGCTATCTATTGGATATCCCAGTGTGCTGGGAGAACCTGGTATCTCTGAAGAGCCAGCTGCTCACTTGTGTTGATTTGATAAACCAGTAAAAATCTGGAGTCTTGCCCAGGGAAGAACAGGAGGGAAAATTGGGCTGTTTGCAGCAAGGGGCAGCTACAAGCACAGGGGACACTGAAGTGCTGCAGGCAACACAAGCAGCTGCTTTGGCAGTTTTCTCTGTTTGCCTCTCTTGAACATTTTAACAGATCAAAAGTGAGCTSCAGGCAGATTTACACCCTCACGGCCCCCCAAGCTGCAGAGAGAATCCCTCCCCGTGCTGGAATACTCACTGCTGTTGCATCCAGCAAGTGGAACGGGCCRAAGATGAGCATCACTTTGGACACCAAGCTGACAATCTGCCTGTTGGGAAGGTGTACAGACTGATCAGGGGAAGCAGCAGCACCTGGCCCCTGGTTCTCACAGATCTTCCTCAATCAGCCACAAAGGCTGATCCACTTCCCTGATCCCAGCCTGCTGCCGTGGTAGTGTCTCAGTGTTAGAAGCAGCTGTGCTGCCCAGGGACACTAGGAAATGGGGAGGAACCTTTGAGGAATGTTTGCCAGTTGGAGGTTTATGAACTCTTATCTGTCAGCAGCTTCTGGGGTATAAATAACTCCCTCCAAGAAGGCAATAATACTTGAAAGAAAGCTGTTAACTCACATGTCATTGGTGAAGATGTATCCCACCACGTTCCTGAGGCTTCCCAGCAATGTTGCAACCACCATAGCAAAAACTCCTGCAAGAAAAAGAAATAGTCAAATTGCATCAAGGGCAGCACATCCTGTTCCAGACCCAGGCTCAGACCTAAGGGCTTCTTGTGGCAGGGACTGGACTTTGCTAAACCCGAATGATAGTACAGCAGAGGACGAGTCTATTTTGCTCACATTCTCCCCAGGTACTCCCTCCACCCTCTGGAGTGTGAGGACAGAACACTAAACTGCATTTTGAATTATCAAAGCTTTGGCAGACAGAAAAGATGAGCCAGGATCTTGCCGTGGTCCAAACAAGTGGGTTTGGGTTCCTGTGGGGGTCCCCAGCCCTGTCAGAAGGAAACTGAACCATCTGCTGATCATTGCCCTTCACCCTGCTCTGCAGGACCGGACTGACCTGTGCACAGCAGTGCAACGATGCAGGAGGTCTTGGCTTGCACCACATCCCCCGCTCCCAAGGCATTGCCCACTCGGACACTGGCAGCCACGCTGAAGCCCAGAGGCACCTGAGAAACAGGAGACAGGAGAGGTCAGTGACAGTAGGGCCTGCAGTGACAACAGAGCCTGCAGTGACAACAGAGCCTGCAGTGATTTTCTTCTGCTCCAGAGGGGAATTTGGGACAAATTACTGCAGTGATTTTCCATCTGCAGCACGCCCTGGATGTCCAGCTGCATGCCAGGCTTGGGAAGCATCCCCTGCCTGCCACCAACCCCAGCTTCCCACCTCAGCACTGAGCCACAGGGTCTCTGTTTTGGGGTTCCTCCCAGGCTGTTTGGGGTTTCACAGCCCCAGCCCTTACCATGTATGCAACACCAGAGATCTCGTAGATGATAGATTGTGCACCCAGCTCCACCACACTGATTAGCCCTGCAAAAAATTTTACACCTCCTTCACTGGCTGGAAAGGAGACATCTCATCCCATGGGATAAATGGGAACACCTGCAGCATCCTGCAGACCCAAYCCTGTGGGTGAGGAGGCTGCTGGCAGGGGGGTCTGGGGACACTCTCAAGCAGCAGCCACCAGGAATCAGCGAGAAAAGAGGATTTGGACTCACCAGCCAAGAAGCTCCCGATCTCAAAGGTCCACCACTCGATGCACATCATGACCATGCCAGGCACTGCCAGCCAGATGAAGGAGCCCCAGTCCACGAGGCACTCCCTGCTCCAACCTGCAACAAGGAGGTGAAGCAGAATGAACATGTCMTCCCTCTCCTCCTCCAAAGGGGAACCACATCCTCTCCTGGACACCCTCTGCAGCTCAGAGGACATCACAGGACATCAGCCCAGGATTGCTGCTGGGCCATGCTGCATCCCTGAGATGGAATATTTGACAAGAATGTGTTTGGAGCTGCAGTAAAGGCCTTGAGGACATGGCTACAGCRTCTTCCCACTGTGAGGAGATGGCAATCCCTTTGTCAGATGCTGGTGACAATGCCAAATTCCCAGGGCCAGACTCTGGTATTCTGAAGGATCAGGTTCTAGCAGTACCTCCCCAGGTCTTCACATGGACCTTCTTCCACCACATGTAAAGGAYGAGGAGGATGACCTCGGTGTACTGAGAAGCCACATTAGCCCAGGCAGAGCCCCTGGGGAGAGAGACAAGCAGGTCACAAGTGACATACTTCCCCACCTCCTCAGCCACAGCAGGAGAGACCCACAGGCACCCACAGCAGCCTTGCTGCAGATTTGGGACGGATCCCTCCAGCCTCAGCTTTGCAGGTGGGGAGCTGAGGGG